GCAAGTGTAGGAGATAGAGGCATTTCTTCCCTTCATCAGAGAACGATATACCTGTAAATAAAAGATCTTGATGCAGAACGGAATGAGTTATGAATCTCTCGGACCCTTTTAGACTTCATGAAGTTCGAAAGAATCGGCAAGAGCGTGCTGTTCAGCAATATATTCAGGTTTGATCCAGCTACTAATCAGTGGTCTTGCGATGTTGCACCCACTTCAACTTGTCGAACGTCAGTCGGTGTAGCCGTTTTAGATGGTTTTCTCTACGCTGTAGGAGGCCAGGATGGGATTAATTGCTTGGACGTCGTTGAACGGTACTGTTCATTCATATTTTTGTCTGTTTTCATTTTTTAAGTTATGCTTTGTAGTTATGATGCTCGACGAAACGAATGGACTTGTGTAGCACCTATGGGAACCCGCCGATTAGGAGTATCTGTTTCAGTTTTGAACGGTTGTTTATACGCCGTAGGAGGATCGGATGGACAGTCGCCGCTTAACACAGTGGAAAGGTTAGTTGCGAGATTTTTATTTTAAAAAATCTTCATAGGTATAAGGGTTGAAGTGCAATTTGAAAACTGATTATTTTGATATTAGGTTGAACCTTCGCATCTCCTAATTTACACTCAATTTTAATACTATAATGATATGCACTTCCAAAATTTCCGACTAAATATTGTATATAGTTTGAAGCTCGTTATAATAGCCGGTTTAACATCTCTCCAAGTCATTTGATTTTGATTTAATTTCCGAGCTGAGCAGTAAAGTGTTAATTTGAAGGAAACAGCATTTTCGATATCTGCCAGTGTTTGCTTTTGAACCAAAAAAATTGTTCTTCCGCTCATGGAGGAGGGTTCGAGAATCCATGGCTTTTAAGATATTACATGCTCTATCTTGAAGGAGATCATCTGAAAGTTGTAGTTTCTATACTTCTTTATCCTGCTCCAAAGTAATATCTTTTTTTTTCGGCTGATTGCAGTTATAGGCAAAGTTTAACTTCGATGAATTGATTCTCATTAATTGGCTAATCGGTTTCCTCGAGGGAAACCTTGTGATTCTAGTGTAATGGGGTGCCTGCCATTACTTGTGACTGTCAGCAAAAACTCGCCGCACGCGCAGCCAGACCGGCCGTGCAATAATTCGTGCAGTGCACCGGTGCTATACAGACCTTCGTGGATCCGGGGCTCAACCCAGATATCGAGATGCCTTAGGGAAATAGTATCATAAGGCTATGCTATTACAATCCCTGAAGATAACACTAATTTCTTTCTCCTTTAGGGCGTAGCAATCATAAGTCTACGACAATTTATCTTTGTTTCGTTGTTTGAACGTAGAGAGTTATATCTCCCTTTTATTGTTCAGCTTCTTTTTTACAGAATGAACCATAAAATTTCCAAGTGAGAATTTCCAGTGAAATCATATTCTAATGGTTCACACAAAA